TCTTTGCTTGGTTGCTCACTTGGGCCTTTAGTTCTGCCACTTTGTAAAGCTGCTTGGAGACAATCGCCACTGTTATGCATGCTGTAAATAAAGTTAATTAACTTGAATTGAATTTTCATTTTTTTAACAGAGTACAGCGAGCCCTTCCCGTAGTCCGCTCTCTCTCTCTCTCTCTCACTGGGTGTTCCTGCTATGTCCGTCTTTTTCCCCAGTCTCCATCTGTTCCTTCTCCTCCCACGCTTTCCATCCGAGGGATGGATGGATGGATGAGGAGATTGTGAGGGTTTTGATATGTGTATGTTTGTGTTGTGTGTAGGAGGGAGGTGCTGATAGGACAGTCATCTGCTGTAACAGTTTGCTACAGACTGGACACCCCTGTGGGAAATGCATAATTTGTACCACCTTGTGTCAGCAGTCTTGAGTAGCTTCAGAGCGGAACAGCTGTAAGAATTAGTGTGTGTGTGTGTGTGTGTGTGTGTGTGTGTTGTGTTTGTTGATTTGTATTAATTAGAGAAGTTACGCAATTCTTAGAGGGTAGAAGAACTTTTAGAGGACAACAGATGCATTCATTATTTTGTTTGTAAGCAGTTACAAATATTCCTTAGAGGAAAAGTGAACTCATTGAAGCATGTGATTAATTCAATATGAAATATTTATATTACATAGTGTGATTGCTATGTATACAATATGTACTTAGAATTACATTTATATAAAATAATAAAATAGTAATTGAATATAATGTGTTTATGTATACACATATGCAGTTTGTTTATATATAATGCAGTTTTAAATGATGTAAATCAACATTTTAAATTAATTTAATTATTAAAATGGTGTAGCTGCTGTTAATGCATTTAATAAAATGCTTTTTAAATTGTAAGCAGCAATAAAGTGCCACAAATGTATCATTAATTATTAATAAAATTAATTTAATATGAATAAAACACTGTTCTGTGTATATTCATATATATATATATATATATATATATATGAATATTATAGAGTAAATTATAATTTCAAATGTTTTTAATTCTTTAAAAAAAATTGAACTGCTGTTAATGCAGTTCTTCAATTTGATATTGATGTTCACACATGCACAAAGCCCTTCTCTGTAATTAAAGTATATTTACTGAGTATTATTTATAAATTTCATTTATTTCATGGGACATGCAAAAGTACAGTCATTTGCGAGCTGGATTTGAACTTACCAAAAAAAAAGAAAAGATTTTGACAGATTTTCTCTTTGGTGACACCTAGAAGCCATTGAAAATCTCTGAAATATTTGAATCCTCATTATGAGAGAAACATTCAGTTAGGCACAGCTGGATAAAAGGCACAATACTGAATCAAACGGTAATGCGAGACTGTAAAGACCGCAGATCCCATGAACTGAGTGAAGGGTCACGACCCCTGAGAATGCCCAGTGTGTGACACTGACACCAAGACTGTCACGCTTCAAAACAATGAACAACATGTCTCTCTCTCTCACATGCTCACTAATCTGCTGGTGATAGATGACACATTGCTATCAACACTATGCAGGGGTCACGGCTAGAGGAGTCACCATACCTTGTTTCACTGGCACACAAACTTTCATTAAGAGTGCAAACCATGGGTGCATTATATGCTAAGCTAATGCTGTCGGGACAAATGACAGTAAATGTCCTTGAGCAATGTCAACACCCCTCACTGGAATAATCACCAGAGAACATGTGGACGGGCATGTGAGGAGAGGGCATATGGATCCATGAGCAATCACTATAGAAATCTTCTGGAGAAATAACTCGGTGTGTCAGAAGAATTTACAATAAAATGAGGTGGTATTAATTTGGTGGGGTTTGAAACATGACAGAACTTCTTTTTTTGACGAACTATCCCTTTAATATCTCTAATGGTTCTGTATAGGTTTTGACAGGATATCAGACAAACTTTCCCATGACTGTGTGAGAATGTGAGCTCACCCTACTAAAATCAAACTCCCTGGATTCTCTCGTATTGATTCGCTGCTCTCTGATGTGAGAATTGAGCTGGGCTGCCAATCAATGACAGGATCAGAGCAATAATACAAATGAAACATGAGCCAATGTCCAGAGAGAGACCACCACAGAGAAAGCTTATTCCATATCACACATTTATTTATGATCATATTTTATGATCGCTTTGACTGAACATTTACATTGCTTTTTACCTTACGTTAAATCAACGACGTTTACTGAATGTTGCATTCTTGCTCGTGCAAAACTTGCCTCATCAGTGCTAGAATGTTCTGGGTGGTCACCAGGGTGTCACTATGGAGTTACTAAGGTCTTCTGAGAGGATTTTATCCAAAGTGTCTGATAAGTGTTTGTCAGGGTGTTTTTAGTGGTTGCCAGGGTCTTGTTAAGTGTTCGGGTATTGTGAATAATTTGTAGGGCATTGCTAAATGTTTGATAGAATGTTCTGTGTGGTTCCTAAGACATTCCTAACTGTTGGCTATGGTATTTGGGGTGGTTGCTAGGGTGTTGTTAAGTGTTAAGGTATTTTGAATGATTTCTAGGGCTATGTTGTGTTTATTTGGGTATTGTGTGTGGTTGCTAGGGTGTTGCTAAGTGTTCGGGTATTTTGAACGATTGCTAGGACTATGCTAAGTGTTTATTTGGGTATTGTGCGTGGTTGCTAGGGTGTTGCTAAGTGTTATGGTATTTTGAACGATTGCTAGGACTATGCTAAGTGTTTTTTGGGTATTGTGTGTGATTGCTAGGGTGTTGCTAAGTGTTATGGTATTTTGAATGATTTCTAGGGCTATGCTAAGTGTTTATTTGGGAATTGTGTATGGTTGCTAGGGTGCTGCTAAGTGTTATGGTATTTTGAATGATTGCTAGGGCTATGCTAAGTGTTGATTTGGGTATTGCTAGGGTGTTTCTGAGTGTTAGGGTGTTTTGAATAATTGCTAGGATGTTGCAGTGAAGTGTTTGTTAGTGTATTGTAGGTGGTTGCCAGGGTGTTGTTAAGCATGAGGGTATTTTAATTTGGCTAATTGTTTGATAGGATGTTCTGTGTGGTCTCTAAGGCATTACAAAGTGTTGGCTATGATATTTTGGGTGGTTGCTAGGGTGATAGGGTAAAGTGTTTGGTTATTGTGGGGGTGGGGGTGGGGGGGTTGCTAGGGTGTTGCTAAGCATTGTGGATTTTGAATGATTGCTGGGGGGGATTCAAAGTATTTGCTAAGGTGTTCTGTCTGGTTACTTAGGCATTGCTAAGTGTTTGTTAAGGTCTTGTGTGTGGTTGCTAGGGTGTTGCCAAGTGTTAGTGTATTTTGAATAATTGTTAGGATGTTGATAAGTGTTTGTTAGGGTGTTGTGGATGGTTTCCAGGGCATTGCGTTGGTTAGGGTATTTTGCTAAGTGGTTGTTAGAGATGAGTCACACACTGAAGTTTAATATTTAGGGTTAGGGATGCCAAATAAACCCCTAACCACAAGTATGCGCACTAATAATAGTGACGGTTGCCTTAGTAAGCATTATGAATCCACTGTCTTGTTTGGGGGTTTGACATACAATCAGGTACCACATTGTACAATGGTCAGTGAAATCCAGCTAACACCTCTCGGCCATCTTTCAGACGTCGCTGAGGCTCAACAAGCGAAGATGATCAAAGGAAACCCCTCAGAGATACTAGCCTGTAGTGTTTACAGAAGCCAGAGGAATAATGCCGTCACTGAGGGCTCATTAGGGTTCAACATGCTCCTGACCCAGATCAAAGACCCAGCGTGTGGCTGTACTGGGCTGTTTACGATCTTCGGCTCTTTTCAGCGGGAATGAGTCGAAGAAGAGGTCTCAAGAGGCGCAAACACTCTGGCAGACACTAAAATGCACCTCTTTAATAACGACCAAACTCTTGCTGCAGCTCTTTGTACGTCCCAGAATCCTCGTGGGAGTGCGGCCTGTCCCGTAAAGCAGCAAGCAGCAAGAAGCAAGCGCTCATTAGTTTAAGGCAGGCCTGTAAGTGCATTAAATAATTCACTTTCTACATTTCCCACCTCACATCCTTCTTTCTCCCTGACTCCTTTTTATTAGGTCAGGTCAATCATTTGCTTTTCAGAGGCGGCTGCCTTCGTCCTTTCTTATTTTTCTCTGCTTGTGAGCTTTTGGACCTTCATTAATCTTTGAGAGCTTTTTAAAGGCATTCAACCATACCACGAGTCAGGGAAACAGTGGGCTCATCTAACATACATGAACTTAGGTGAGATGGGCATCTAAGGAAACATGTGCGAGTGACAGGAAAAAGTATGGCCAAAACATACTATAACTCATAATTTAGCTAGATTTCATACGCCATTGTGCTTTGAAATGAATTGTTAGAGTGCAATTCATAATGCAACAGAAGTTTGCACTATATTCTACAAAAACTGCCACAAGTAACGCTATAGGAAAATTAGGACAAATGGTATTTTCTTTGGGTGATTTTTAAGGTATGTTAAGGTAAGTACTGACAGAGCTAGAGTTAAGGTGTGAACAGATTTCGCATCGGGTTCAGTTGGCCATACAAATTTGCCACTTTGACAAACAGACTTGTTTGGTTTGAAAGTTTTTTTGCCTGAAAAAAATGTCAGAGTTGATATTTTTAAAACTTGTTACCTAAATAATACATACAGTATGCTGGCACAGACATGAAATTATCTGTATCGCCCCCTTGAGAACTGATTAAGGTTTGTATCGAAGCCTGTTTCAATTAAATTTTTCAATTCAATTCAAGTTTATTTGTATAGCGCTTTTCACGATACAAATCGTTGCAAAGCAACTTCACAGAAAATTACGTTCTGTACGAGTCCACCCATGTTTCCACCCACCTAAACTAAGAAATAAATTGACGTCGCAACTTCGTAAAAGTCACAGTTAGGAGAAAATTCTAAATTAGCTATATTACTATATATAGCTATATTAGCTTCATTAGCAATATTAGCTGTCCTAAAAAATTACTTGAAATACATGACAAAATAAGGAAAAACAAACAAAAACAGATTTTTCTCAATCGATCATTTATTGACATCATAAAACAGCATTTCCAGTTGTTTGGCCCTGTGATTGACACCGCTAAGACTTCAAATACACACATACAATATTCCTCTTTCTCGTACATAAATGAAATCACTGTGACCATTATGAAGATATTTTGCGTATCTGAGATTTTAACATGTCCATCTGTAACAGTCCCTCATGTTATCACACACACACGGAATACATATATGTCTTCACTTGTCTAGCACACAGATAAATAAACATCTAATATAGCAAGGCTCTGATAAATCAACAATATAAATCTCGACCTCTGAATCATGATAAATGTGGAAAAATAAACCAAAGAACAAAACGAAATGTCCAAAACTAGATTTATCTTCTCTTTTAATGAGAACCAAGATAAAATATTTGCTTTTAGAGTAGTTGTTCTTTTGGCATCCGTTCCATTTGCTCTAGGCGATTCTTTTGTACAAACAGAATATAAACAATACAGCGTTTGATCAGAGGGGGACGTAATGTTTCTCTAGGAGTCATAACACGGGTGACACACCTGCCCTCAGGAACAACAGCATGGAAACACAACCTTTATAACATGTGTTTGTGTAACAGGGATCAACTGTAACAGCGTGTCAAGTATTCCATTCCAAATAAACACACGTGCACACGCCACATAGGAAGGGATATCCTGGATACCAGCACATGTAAAGGACACACGCACTCTGACCGTCCATTTAACTCATAAACACACACGGCACACATATACACACTTTTGACCGCCTCTGTGTCAGTGTTATTACTGGTTCGTATGACACACAGCTACTAGAATCTCAAGATTGTATGTTTCGGGACATGCTTCGGGAAGCACCATGGTTTGATGAAACCGCTGTGTCAGTCACCCGCTTCACTGTGACAGCAGCTTGAAAAGGTTTCTCATTGGTCCACTTGTACTGTGGTATGAAACTGACCAATGGGAGTGCTGGAGGGGGCGGGGTTTTAGGGTGAGCGGCACCACTACTATACAGAAGCCGGTGGAAATTCTAGCACAGAAAGAAGGAAGGAATAGGAAGGCAAAAACAATGAGAGTGAAGCAGTGTGGAAAAGTTCACACTGATAACCGTGTCGATTCGAGTTCGGCAGATCCACGTCTGAGAACCGATAAAAAGGTCGGAGGGGGTGGGAAAGGCATTCCAGGACAGAAGAAGAGTTTCGGTGTGTGTGTTTAAGGGCTGTGGTTCATGCATGACTCACGGACAGAGGTTTTGTCGGTGGTGAGCGCTCGGAGTGTCTCAGAGGGTGCGGGGAATGATGGTGAAAGGTAAGATGGGACAGCTGGCCTCCAGCTCCAGGGCAGTGAGGAAGCATTCGGTCGCTGCGGCGTCGTTGCCCTGCGCTTGTAGCACTTCTCCCAGACTGTTCCACACGTCATGGGCCGTGCTGTTCACCTGCACCGCGTCACGCAAGATCTTCTCCGCAAGACTGTACCTTTGCAGCTGATGCAATATCAGACTCTGCAAAAAACCAGACAAATCAAAAGAGAAAAAAATACAGATGCCAGGAAATATAAGACAGAGTTCTGGATGAATTTGAATCTTCCTACTGATTAAAAAAATTGCACATATCTTTTAGCTTCAAATCGGACTCAAATTAAAAAATCATTTTCAGTTAATTAATTAGGGTACAACACGGCCCTTTAAGAAATGGTATAATTATATTATATGGTATAATTACATTATATTGTATAGTTATAAAAGAATGATCAAAATATTGATTAGTAACGACTGATCTATAATAGACAATACGTAATAGATATAGATCAGTGTTTGGTAACAATTTGTAAAGAAAAACTGAAAAAACAAACAAAAAAGTGTTCTGTATGTTGATTTTGATACAAATGTACTATAATTAGTTATATTATTTATTACTATATTAATATTATAATATTATTAATTATAGTTTATATAATCAGTGGTTTTTGAAAAAGCAGTTTGGGAAAAATATTTTATGTATTTTTATATATTATATATTTCTAATAACTGCTTATTATATATATATATATATATATATATATAAAATTATTAGAATGATTCCTGAAGGATCATGTAACACCGAAGACTAGTGTAATGGGTATTGGCTGCTGAAAATTCAGTTTTGTTTATTTAATTTATTTATTATTTATTAAATAAATTTGAAATATATTAAACTGAAAAAAATTACAATATCACTGTTTTTATTGTATTATTCAAATGCGTAATGTTTTTTCAATTAAATGTAATTTAATAAAAAAATGTAATTTAATATTTTAATTTAATTTAATTCTGATATAATTTTTTACACAGTTTCTGTTCTGCAAATACGCATTGTTCTTCGTATTTGGTATGTCAAATGTGTCAAAATTATCACAGACCTCTGTATTTCCATAAAACAATTCTATAAGAATACAGTTATCTGTTGTGTTTGTTGTGACAATGTCATAAAATCTGGTCTGAATGCACAACGTGGTATTTCTAACATATTCTTTATAGTACACAGATCAAAAACGAGCCGACATCAAACAAAGGGTTAATGTAGTGTGAACAGCTCTGAGAGTTCAGATGCCGTCCACTGTCCTGCTGTTAGAACAGTGTCAGACACATAAACAGACATGCACACACACACACACACACAAAAGAAGGTCAGAGAGGGAGAGATTTGACAGAGACAGGGGCAATACTTCCTCCTGCTGCTGTCTACTACAGGGGAGCTCCTTTATAAGACATGACATTTCTGCTTACTATTAAGACACACACAGCCGGAGACAGCAGCACTCACTCACTCACACACACACACTTCCTCTGACAAGCCTCCACATCCTGGACTCATTGTCTGCTAAATACTGACATGGGACGAGATCTGGACTCCTTTCTCCATCTCAGCGTGACGATCCCCCAAACACACAACCAAACGTTCCCACAAGAAGAGTAACACCTGAAATCAACTCCATTGCGGG